CTGCCAATGGGATCACAAGCTTACTTTTGCCTTTCTTGAAATGGGTTATCAACAGTCAAATTTTGATTATTCTTTATTCGTTAAATTTGTTGATTCACACATTACTGTTTTGTTAGTCTATGTGGATGATTTAGTTCTTGCAGGTGATGATCTCAATGTTGTGAAATCAATTATGGATGCAAAATTTAAAATCAAAGACCTTGGACCATTAAGGTTCTTTCTCAGTTTGGAAGTAGTAAGATCTTCCAAAGGCATCTTCCTCACACAAAGAAAGTATGCATTGGAACTACTTGATGATGTTGGCCTTTTGGAATGCAAACCAGTAACTTCTCCTATGATTCCCAATCTAAATCTATGGTCAAAGAAAATGGTATTCCATATTCTGATCCCAAGTCTTATCCCAGGTTAATTGGTTGTCTCATTTATCTAACTAACAAACGACCTGACTTAAGTTTCCCTGTTAGTAGGTTAAGCCAATTTGTTTCTAATCCTATGAAGGACCACTATGATGTTGTTATTTGCGTCTTACAGTATGTCAAAGGAGCTCCTAGTCGAGGCCTTTTTTCTTTCTTCCAATTCTGATATGCAACTATCGGCTTTTAGTGACTCTAATTGGGCATCTTGTCCAGATTCAAGGAAATCCATCACTAGATTCTCTATCTTCTTTAGCTCATCTCTCATTTCATGGAAGTCCAATAAACAACAAATTGTGTCACTTTCCTCCTCTGAAGCAGAATACTGAGCTCTAGCTACTACTACTATTTGTGAGCTTCAATGGCTCATTTACTTGTTGCAGGACCTGCATTTTCCCATCCCCAAGGTTGTTCCATTGTATTGTGACAACAAATCGGTCATTCAAATTGCACAAAATCCAACTTTTCATGAAAGAACCAAGCATATAGAACTTGATTGTCATTTGGTTTGGGATAAAGTACAATTGGTTGTCATTAATTTGATTCCTATACCTTCTGCTACACAACTTGCTGATATACATACTAAAGCCCTTTCTCGATCTATTTTCTACTCTTTCATATTCAAGCTAGGCATGACAGATTTGTATGCTCCTACATGAGGTGGCTATTAAAATAGTTAATTTTTCTTATATTAGGAATATATATCTTTCTGTTGTAGTAGGTAGTTATATTTTCTGTAATTAGAGTCATTCAATAATAAAACTGAATCTTTCTCTATAAAATTCACCAATGCCAAGCAATAATTATTTTAATATAGTTATTTGAGAAAATTACGTAAATAACTAGTGAGATTTTGTGAAATTGTATAAACGTTCCCTATTTTTTATATTTGTACAATAATTATCTATTTTTTAATATATTTTTACAACAATCTATTTTAATTGTTTGAAAAATGTTATATATATTATCATCCCTAAAACATTACATTATTCTCTTTTATATCATTTGAAAAATATTTGCGCTATAATTTTTTTTATAAGAGAAGTTACTGTAAATTTCTTTTAAAAAAATATCTCTTTAAGCTCACCAAATATCAAGTGTGAATGTAATTTATTTTAGTTATTTTTAGTAATATACATAATCAAATAACATATATTAATTATAAAAGATATATTCAGAATATATAAAAATTAATTTTATAAGCTAACGTAATTTACCAATACAAAAAAAAAAGTACGTAAGTGTAATTTTGATAGTATTTCATAAATAAAATGTAAATATATGATTAGTTAGTTAATTGGTCTTGGTTTACTTGTTACCTTTGTAGAGTTTTGAAGAAGAGTTTGGGCAGGGAAATTCTGAAACTGCAGCCAATGACTGTACTGGAAGATAAGAATTCTGAAATGCGCAGTGATAACTTCCTCTTGTATTCTGATACGTGTTGCATGCTATAGTTAACACCTTTTGCAGCTGCTGTCATACATAAAATATTAATATATGTTTCACAAGTTAACATAATCAAACTTGTAATAAAATACTATAATTTAATTATGGCTTTTCTTTTATATATAAAATTCGTTTAACAAATTTCAAACTAAAAAATTTATTTAAATATATTCTTTTCATTTATTTCACTATTAAATTTATTAATAAATATATGATAAATTCTTATTAAATACTTATCAAACATGAATAAAAATAATCTCCTTTATAAAAGTTTGTCATTCATTAAATAAATGAACATCTTTTTTTTATTTTGAATTTTTTATGATTGTAAGAATTAAGGTTCAAATTTCAGTCACTTAATTATACAATATGAGTCTTTCATCATTTATGATGATCTAAATTAATTCCTTTATTTTGTATTATGTAAATTTTTTAGTGTTTAAGTATGTCTCCAAATATTTATTATTTAGAAAATAAAAAATAGTTATTTTTTTAAATATTATTTCAATTTATTGATCTATCACCTAAATATTTAAAATGATTCAAAGTTATAATTTAATTCTTTTAATAAGAGTACTCTTACTAAAGAAAATCATTTTATTTTAAAAAAATTTGTAATTAATATTTTTAAACAATATATCATCTTCATAAGTGGAAGTAATAATTAAACTATCTTTTCGCTAGTGGTAGATGATTGAACTAATATACATATAACTTTAAAATCAAATTTGTTTTTGATATCGTAATTTTTATAAATAAAAAAAATTATCTCATTATTTGGTTTAAATTTTAGCTTGTCACTTTATTTTATTAGTCAAAATTAAAATAATAATAATAACATATAATTCGAATTTAGAATTATGCATATATTACTCTAATTTTGACCTGATCGTATAGGGATCACGAATCACCTTTTACCTTAATCCAGACCTCTTAGATTATTAAAATGGGTAATGATTTCTTCGATGCAACTCACTCCAATAGTACTTGTGCATGGATTTCCACTATGTGCTCAACAATAGCGAAAAAAAGTAAGGGAAAAAATATCTTACATTTTATAGCAGTTTCAGTATCACTGTACTGGATAAGAATCTCTAACTCCTTCTAGAACTTTATTTCAATTTTCATCAAACCTAAGTCACTAAATATAACTTATATGTTTCCTTGAAGTTTCAACCACGTTTAATTAAAATTAAAAAAAAAATAGTTGCTACTTGAAGGAGATTCGTAATTTTTTTTTATATAATAGATACTTCCTACTTATATTATGATAATAAAAAATGTTGCTAAAATCTTATACACATACATATATATATATATATATATATATATACATATATATATATATATACATATATATATATATATATATATTTCAATTTAATTGAGTTTTCATTCTTATATGTAGCAATATTTGTTTTCCAATATTCTAAATTCCACTGATTTATCAATCTGTCACAGCCTTATGTCTGTCCTCTAGCTATGGAGCACAAAATGATCATTATTCGGATTCATCGATGTGAGATGAAGTTGCTTATTTGGTTTAAAACTTCCAAGCTCTATAGTTTACCAAAATTGTGGATCCAAAACTTTCTTATTCATATTATACCGCCAAAAAAATGTTAACAATTTTGTGAGTTCAATAATGAATAATTATGGCATTCTTCTGCACATCGCATTCTCTTTCAAAGATTTGTCATATATGTAGTTAAAAACAGAAGGCAATCAACTACTCGTCTTTCCCTTTCTAATTACTCGAAATTGACTATTAGGTTAGGACTGTGATGGTAGTTCTCTACCTTGTAATATTTTTATTTTTTATATATAAGCAAAATTTAATTAAGAAACAACAAAAATTACTCTAACGGCCTTTAATGAAAGATTAGGCTTAATATTACATTAATATGTTATAATCATTATTCTAAATATATCATTGAAACAAATTTAGAGTAAAAAATACCAATATACAAAATGCTAGGAGGTTTTCAACAAAAAATTGTTATATATATATATATTAGATAGCCAAAATGGCATTAGCTGTACTTTAGCAAGATAATGGACAAGCAAACATGGCATTGCAAACTTGCCATTCAGGGTTAGGAACTAGCTTACTCATACACATAAGGGCATATATATAATGTCAAAAATGAAACGCTGTTGTGAAAAAAAATATGCCTATAATTCAAGTGAAAAAAAATGCACCCTATCACCTTTGAGAGCTAGAAACATGAAGCGTGCTATTGTCAACCACAAATAGAATCTTGTACGACAATTCCTCTAAATGCGAGTCACAGGGAACAAAACTCAACCAATAATAACCCATGTTTTGCATTGTCATTGTCATCTAGGTTAAAAACAAACACTGCAATTCATTGCCACAAAGCCATGGGACTCACAACTTGCAAGAACCACCACAAATACCCTCCCCCAAAATTTTAATGATCATGACAAATAGAAGCCACACCCATGAGTCATATATATATATAATCCCTATACTGGAGGCAACAAGGTTGACAACAAAGCAAATTATAACATGCTACAAAGGCCTTCCAAACCGTGATTAAAAAAACACTTAAAAAATCAATGTGAATAAACTTCTCTAAAGACATTTTCTACAAATTAACTTATGTATCAACTAATTTTAATTTATTGAAAAACTTATCTCATTTTTTTTATTGTTTTCTTCTATAAGTGCGTTTTTTTTTTCAGAAAAATTTACCTCAACAACCCTTAAATTACATTTTCAAGACTCTAGTATTGACAACAACAAAAAAAGATTTTGACATCCTAATTTTTTTTCTTTTTAAAAATGAGGTTCTCTGACTAATTTAATCGTCTAATCTGTCCGTTGTCTTAATATCTAATATCTAATATTCAATAAAGATGTGTACGTAATAATACAAGAGATATTAACACATTTTTGTTAAATACTAAAACGTGCCCGATGAAATTAAAATAGTAAAGAAATAAATTCTCCTGAAAAAAACAAGGCCACCAAAATCGAATTTTAAGCAGAAGACCAAAGTTGTAATGAAGATAAAAAAAGCTTAGGTTTGTGTCTCCTTCTTATGGGCAATAAAGGAAAAGCATTAAAAATGAAAGGAAGGGTTAGGACGAAAGAGGTTGGAGAATGGAGCCCCATAAAATAAAAGTTCAAAAGGACATTTTGGCTTGATACTAGGAAACAAAAGGACAAAATAGTTCGAAGTTATTACAACATAAGAGGAAGCATGGGTAAAACTGGAACATAGCTAAAAAACAAAACAAAAATTTGTCCCCCATTTTTGGTCAACCACTATCATTCTTTCTTTTCTCTCTAACCTAGTTCTTCTTCATGTATAATATTCATATTAATATTCATGAGTAAGCAAAGCAAAACCAGCGTGTCAATTTGTTGCTCCTTTCTGACCATGACGAGAACCAGACGCTGTGGGCCTCATTGCAGCCACATAACACTTCTCATTCTCAACACTCTCTTCCTCATCCATGAAAATCTGCTTGCACCTGCACTCCACGCTGCAGAACGCCCTGTCCCCTCTTCACACATTCATGTTTATATATATGTCAATGAATAATACACCCCCAGAAAAAGATCTTGGCTTTTGTCAGAACAAAGAGTTACAAAAGCATATATTATATATATTATAGCTAGACTAAAACAAGATCTGGGTTTCAAGTGAAAGTGAAAAGAGTCAGAAAAAGAAAACATATATATATATATATTTATCTGTATATAGGTAGCTAGCTAGGTTTAATATTGAAGGATGTGACTCACTTGTACATGTAGATGTCTTTCCCTGGCAAGAGTCTCTTGTTGCAGAGAAAGCAATGGTCTAGGAACGTTGGTTCCTGAAAAGGAGAGATGTTATGGATGGATGATGAAGGAGAGTGTTTGTTGATTGTGCTAAGCATGGTTGTTTTGTTAATCACTTGTGGAGTCTTGTTGTTGCTAACACTGCTTCTTTTCTGTGCCTCTAAGACTACACTCAGACCCAGCATCTTTCATATGCTTTCTCTTCTCTCTTTGATGATTGTTTTGGAGGAAAGGAAAGGAAACGATGAAGTTTAGTTTTGGAGATAGTACAAAGGTAGAGGAGAGGAGAGGAAGGAAAGAAAGAGGGGTCAATGGGGTGGGTCCCCTACAGCTATGGGGCAGTAACAAAGATCAATGATTTGACTGCTTTTGCTATTCTACTGCCACGTATAACTTTTGCAGTTTCCATTTCATTTTCGGCTTAATTTTGCCCTCAGTTATTTTCTTGCTTTTGTCTGCTAGTGTTAATGTTCTGCTTCTGCTACCAACACTCCAACACTTTTGGCTCATTCATCCATATATCAATAATCCATTCATAATAATCTCTCTGTCATATGATATTCGTATTGTAATTTTCTATACGCATAATTTATTTTCTTTTGTATTTTTTAAATAAAAAAGATTACCAAGGTAATCTTATAGATTATAAAGATTACAAAAGATCGAACTTAGATTTCATACTTATAATATGGGAATTCCTTTTCCCAAACGCTAAGTTAAACCTAGCAGTTTACAATTTTTTTTTGTTTATTCTTATGCTACTGTGATCGTACAGTTTTTTTGTTTATTCTTATGCTACTGTGATCGAAAAATTTTAAAAATTCAAAGAATTTTAAAATTTTAATTTATTTTATTTTATTTTTCACATTTTATTAAATATTTTATTTAGATAAATTAATTTAAATTTTTAGTTTGGACAAGACAATTTAATTTACTAGAATGTTTTTAAATATATATATTAAAAATTTTAAATTAAACTTTATAAAATAAACATTAGTCAATTTTAAATATTTAATAATTTTTAAAAAAATATTAGACAATAGTAATTTAAAAAAAAATGAATATTCAATAATTAAAAAAACTATTGATATTTTTTAGGCTAAATTATAATTTTAGCTCCTCTATTTATTTTGATCTCACTATTTTTAAATGGGTTAATTTGATCCTTTCTTTTTTTTAAATGTCCAATACTATCCTTCCGTCTAAATTGACACTAATAACGTTAATAAAATTGAATGAAAGAACAACATTGAATATAGTTTATAAATTAGAGGACTAATTGAACCATTTATAAATAGTAAGAATAAATTGAGCATTCCATAAATAGAAGAAAAAAATTAAACAAAAAATCATCTAAAATTATTTTGTCTAGATAAATTTGAATTTTCTTTTATCTATTTAATAATCTCTTTTATTAAAAAACTTTATTTCGTGATATTTTTTAGGGATTACTACTATACCCTCAATTAATGAGGAGTTTTGGTACTGTATTTGATGTGTATGTGTACATCATTTAAATGTCATGTTAACCTTTCAAATAAATTTATATTTTTACTTAATTTTTTTTATATTATTTGGGGAGGTCAGAGATGTATCTACGAATCTCGTCATCCCTGGTGGAGCCCTCCGAGGTGGCGGGGAGGACATGGCACTTAATAACCAAACCTTCGCCATCAAAGGGTCTATTGGTCAAAATCATGCCAACTTCCCCCGCCTTCTTCACCACTTGCCCTTTCTCAGTTCTTGAATTAACGTCTCTGTCGCACACCACAATCCTCCCTTTCATGGACTTGGGATCCAATGAATCTTCCAAGCAGAGAGAGGAAGAGTACTCGTCAGAACCCACATAAACCAACGAGTAGAGTCGTCCTGGAGTTAGACCTAGTCCACCATACACACTCACGCCGCCAATCACCTTGTCGTTCCCTAGCATAACATTCGCTAGGAAATCTCTGTCTATGCTTCCTTCGCCCATGGTCATCACCCAGGGTGCCACATTGTCATCGTCAGGCCATCAGGGTCGTCGTTCCCTACGGAGGCAAAGATGAAAGCGCCAACCTCATTGGCTTTGAAGGCCCCCATGACGATGACGTCCAGATGGTAGGGCACCACCACGCCCCCCACACCAAGGGAGATCACGTCCACATTGTCAACCACGACGGCGTCGAATGTAGTCAGGATGTCAAAGTCATAGTTGTTGACATTCCAGCACACCTTGTAGACGAGCCTTCACTAGTGACCAAGCCCAATTTGTGATTAAGCATGCCCTTGGTGATCTGTTTGAAGACAAATCAAGAGCCTTCTTTCCACACATTATCTCCAAAACCATACCAAACCTCACGAGAACACGAGCAATAGAAAAAAAACAATAATGAGTCTGAATTCGAGTGATAACATAAATAATAAGTGGAAATAATGAAAAAGAAATTTTAATTGTAGGCGTATATGTTTAAGTTAGGATTCTCAAAAATAAAAAAATATATATATAATTTTTTAATAAAATAAATCAGGAACTAAATTGAAATATACAAATACAAAATGATGATGTGACTGAAAATTGATAATATGTCCAAAAGTCAAACAACAGTTCCAAAAACCTCACAAAGAAGATTCAAATTTACCAAAACAAAAGATTTTAAATAAATTTTTATTCAATTTGATTCTACTATTTTTAAAATGTTCAATTTGATCCCACTATTTTTAAAATGTCTAATTTAGTCCTCTAATTTTTTAAAAAATGTTTAATGTTGTTCTTTCATTTAATTTTGTTAATGTCATTAGTACCAATTTAGAAAAAAAAGTAATATTAATCATTTTTAAAAAATTAAAGGACTAAATTGAATATTTTTAAAAAATGTTCAATTTAGTCCTTTAATTTTTTAAAATAGTGAGACTAAATTTAATCTTAAAAAGAAATAGAAAACTAAAAATATAATTTAGCCTATTTTTTATGTCGATATTGAAAGAGAAAAGAGAGAGGTAAAAAAAATAAATAAAAAGGAAAGAAGACAATGAGAGAATTTTAAAAGCATTTCACTCTAAATAATTATACTATTTTAAATAATTTTACAAGCACTAGAATTTTAAATTCTTTATAAATCTTTTATCCAATCAAAATATTTCACTCTAAAGCATTTGAAATTTTTAAAAAGAATAATTTTTTCTCTTAAAATCCCCCATCCAAATAGAATATTATAATATTTAGTATTTAGATAACTTAATTTATGAATTTAAAACTTAAGACGACTAAAATTACATAATTAAAATGCATGAGAACCAAATATAATTAATTTTTTATGATATTTTATTTCATTATTTATATTATATTAATTATCTTACATATTATTTCGGTACAAAACTTAAGGTAGTTCTATCTAGAGCATGAAAGTGAGATCCCGTCAAATAACTTTCCTATCTTTGCTTAGTCTCCACATTATATAATATTAGAGTTATATCTTTTGATCTTTTCAAATTGGATCTATTTATATCTTTTAGCTTATTTATCTTATGTTTTCATAAAATCGTTTATCATGACATATATTACCTTTTCTAGTCTGTTTGGATAGATGCTCTTATTGATTAGTATATCATTTGATAATTTCATGGGTCAAGCCTATAAACTCGGAAATAGATAGATTATTTGTCTATTTCATTAAGATGATCGGTAGATTGACCTACAATAGATCGACCAAGGGTCTAGCAAGATACACTTAAATTCATATTCTTATTGAAAACTCTGTCATCTTATGGTCCAATGGGCTAAGCCCATAAGCTTTCAGAAAAAGACTAAGTTTAATTAGTATTTAGATGATTTGCAAAACGTGGATCAACCATGGTAGATCAATCATGGGCTTATGATGGTTAACAATCATTCAAGCTTAAGCGCAATAACGCATCTAAGTTGATAAATTAAAAATGTTTAAGAAAATCTAGATTGACCCAACATAGATTGACAATGGGCTTTTGATGTTCCACAACCTTTCAGGCTTAAACGTAATAGCACATAAAGGTTAAGCTGATAAATTGAAAATGATCGACCCAGCATAGACCGATAGTGGGCCTATAACGGTCTACAACCCTTCAACCTTAAGTTCAATAGTGCATAAAAGGCTAGGCTGATACATTGAAATTGATCAGCCCAATATAGATCGACGTATAGAACCTATGAATGGAATAAGAAAAGTCATTTTATACAAATTTAATATATATATATATATATATGTGTGTGTGTGAATTTTGAAAGCATCATTGCGTATTAATTGTGATGTGCCTTTCTTACCACGCGTTGATCCTCTATTCGTGAGTTTTTTGGGGCACATTTCCCATTTCTAGCGTACGTCCCTTCATTTTCTTTTCCTTTTTCTCTCTTAAAAGCAATTTTGTAATAAGATAACAAAAATACATATAAAGTGAGTCTCGTGTTTGAGGAGAGCATGGTGAGTGTTTTTGTTGGTGGTGTACTGACAATTTTGATAAACGTTCTTAGTGAGAGTGGCAAAATGATTTTCCGGCATGACAAAGCTCCTTAACTTTTGATAAAATTGTTCTCTTTAAGGTACACTCAAACCCTCATCCCTTACTTACTTTATGGTTTTTGTCTGTGAGGGGTTAAGTGGTGATGATGGAGGAAGAGATGCCCTATGCATGGGTACGACATCAAGTTCGTGATTTGAGTCAATATATACTGAATGGTTAGTTGTAAGTGACCTTAAGCATGACCAAGCTTTTACTTTTAATAGTGTGGAGGCGGATGTGATTGTTGAGCCATGTTTAGGAGGGGAAATAGTTTGTCGTGGAAAAGAAAGGGATGAAAAAGCTTTTTGTTTCTTCTATATAGTAGTTATTTCAAAACTTGGGATTAGATTTCCCTTAACTTTTCTTCAAAAGGATGTTTTGAGAACATTAAATGTGGCCCTTACACAACTTTATGCTGTTGGGCCTTTATAAGGTGTTTTGAAGCTTTGTATTTGACAATGGGGATTACTTTGAGTAGGGCAATTCTTTTACATTTTTGAGTGTAAAAATGCCAAAAAGGGATATTAGGTTTTTTAAATAATGTAAGGGGTTAAGGGTAACTCACTTTATTTACAACCTCCTTTAAGATGTTTAAAAAGAATTTTATTTGTATTCTAGCTCCACCTTACAACTGTGAATTATTGCAAGGATTTTCACTTTGTCAAACAAAAAATCCTATTCCTTATGTTGATCTTAAAGGAGAAAACTTGCTTTTAACGAATAGGATGATTGTCAGAAGTTAGATTCACTCAATGTGATCTTTGATACTAGGCGACTATTGGAGCTTGAATTGAGTTGTTGATTTGAAATATATTGGTATATACATTTTGTTTTAATGGTACCCTTTTATTGTTATATTTTTTGGTTGTTTGATTCATGTACTTTTCTACACAAAGTTTGTGATGGCCATGTCCAAATAAAAGATGAAAAGGTTACTTAAAGCTCAAAGACATGGAGATGTTACTAGTGGTACACGTGGTGGGGTCGAGGCATAAGAGAAGCAACCAATTTTCAATGGAAACCTTCGTCACTAAAAGAGAATCTGAAAAGACCCTCAAAAAGCTACAATTGTTATAGTAGAGCAAATGGTACACCATGAACAATCGATTGATGTCGAAGTATCTTCCCATATTGGAACTCAAGGTGATATTAGGATTATAATTGGTGACAATTGGGGAACCATGGATATGGTGAGCGAAACTAGAGAAGGAAAACCTTTATAGGATGTGGATTTTTCTCATTTAGACCAAATTCAGACCCATAACCTTTCTAATGTTGATGCCCAAAGGTTACATAGCCTAAATTTTTATGATGCTTCAAAAGGTTTGCAAGCCGTTCTGAATCGAGCAAGTGTTCTTGCTATAACAATTGAGTGTTTAGGCTCCATGCAAACACATGAGTGTTTGCTTATAGTAATGTTATTAGTTCCTCCTCTATTTGAGGAGCAAGATTTGAGTCAATCTTTAACTTTTTATTCGACCCTACCTCTATTTCTTTCAAATCTTCAGTTGGATGAGGCCTACAATCCTTAAACCCTTCTCTAAGATCGAGACTTTCATCATACAAATGGTCATACTAACTCATAATGTGGGTAGACTTATTACATGAATTTGTCTCATGTTCCTCAAAATTCCTTCATAACGTACATTTTTGAGTTATCTTGGTCCACCTTTATAGTATTGATCTTTATCTCGTTGATTGGATATTTTACCTTGAGATATGTTGTGGACATTATGGCTCCAAGTTGATTTAGTGGGTTGACCTAAAAGTACATTATAAACCGAGGGAGCATTGACTACAATGTGCTTGACAATGATAGTCTTTGCCTCATCGTCATATGCAAAGGTTGTTCAAAGCTTGGCATATCCTCTCACCTCCACTAGATTGCCTAAGAGTCCAACTAAAACTCCTTCATAAGAACTTAAAACATAAAGGGGAATAGCTAGGCTGACAAAAGTATCCTAGAACAAAATGTCCATTGAACTCCTTTGGTCGATCAAGACTCACATTACATTCCTTTTCACCATAGTGATTGTAATTATCATTGGGTCATCTTCATGAGGAACCACATTGACGTAGTCATCATCGAAGAAACCAATAGGGCATCCTAGATTTGATAATTGATGTTAAGAGTGTAAATATCGATCGAGCACATCTCTTTTGTGCAAATGATGTTGTTCCTCCACCAAAAAAACCACCAATAATCATGTTGAAACCAATAGGGCATCCTAGATTTGATAATTGATGTTATTTTTTTGAGTGATTAGCTTAGTAGCCTTTGTGCTTGCTCTAGTTTGATCGTGGTTCCAACAGATGTTTCCCCTTGTTAGTCCTTACATTCAAATATCTTAAAATAATTGCTAATATTCCAACTTTCTGCTTCTGGGTGGTTTGCTCCTCAACTTGTATGTGGCAGGTTGCTTTAGCTCGTACTTCCGTCATTATAAAAGCGGGTTGATGTAGAAGGGATTTTGAGAAGGAGCCTACTTTGAGTCCATTGACGAAGGCCTCTATGAACATAGTTTCATTAGGAGTCACCACTTGGGCTATCATATCACTGAAATGCGTAAGATAGTCTTTTAAAAGCTCTCCATTTTGTTGCTGAATCGCATAAACATTAACAAAGGTGGGGTTTTTTTGTTTGTTAGCAAAATATTTGGTCACAAACAATTGAGATAACACCTCGAATGAAGTTATCGATTGATTAGGCAGACTATTGAACCTAGGGTAGTTCTATCCGGAACATGAAAGATTCCACCAAAAAACATGTCTATCTTTGCTTATTCTCCACATTATATAATAGTAGAGTGATATATTTTGATCCTATCAAATCAAATTTATCTTTATCTTTTAGCTTATTTATCTTATATTTTCATAAAACTATTTATCATGACATATATTATCCTTTCTAGTCTATTTGGATTGATGCTCTTAATGATAAGTATATCATTTGATAGTTTCACAAGTCAATCTTATAAACTCAGAAACAAATAGATTATTTGTATGTTTCATTAAGATGATGACCTACAGTAGATCAGCCATGAGCCTAGTAGGATACGCTTAAATTCATATTCTTAATGACAACTCTATCATCTTGTGATTCAGTAGATTAAGTCCATAAGCTTTCAAGAAAAAAAAAAACTAAACTTAACTGATATTTAGATGAATTACAAAATGTGGGTTGATCCTCGATATATCTATCATGGACCTATTATATTGTCAAATAGTACACTAACTTATTATTATTATTATTATTATTATTTCATTGTGGTTGTTATGTACTTAAAAAAATATAAAGGAAGAAAAACCTAACTTAACCAAACCACAGGATCACACTTGAAGGTAACAATTAGTTCAGTTGGTAAAGAAGTTTCGAAGTTATTAATGCAAATATTTTATTTATTTATAAAGATGCACCTTCACCTCCCATTAGGGGTGCATCTTTAGGTGGCCCGCGTGAATGAGCTATTATTATAGTTTCTGCTGTTGCTGAAGCCTGAAGGAGGGAAGAGTTTATCTACTGTGTATGTTTTTAAAAAATTAATTACTGGCTGCGTTTGGAGTGCATGAATAAACTTCTGCGTGTGATTCTTTTAGTTTATCGCATGTGTATATATTCACTAATTGGGTAAGAGAACTACTAATTAATTAAGAATACGATAGAAATGTTCAATTTTTCAAAAATGATTTCAGTTTAATTTCCTTTGATTTTAGAGTAATGCTATTTACTCATAAAAAACAACCAAATTTTTGTCCGAATGCTTAAAAAGTTGACACTTGTCAACTTATATATTTAAAGTTTCAAAATTTTAATAGTTTGGAAAATGTTTCGGATCACTTTCTTTTTTTAATATATATACTGGGAAGCTAAAATAACAGTGTTATAATTTTGTTAAAGTTGCAGTACAATGTCGGATTTGTTTGTAGTACAGAGCACTCATGGACTGGACTTGGTGGGACCAAGATTGCATGTTTATGTAACAATCAGCCATCTGCTGCATTGAATTAGGTAGCAAAAATTGATTGTGCAATAAATTGGTAATTGGACAACTGCTGCATGTGTTGGGGAATGTTCAATTTTTTATTTACTAGGTTAGTTTCTTCAATTCTAAGTATAGCCTTTATTCATCAACTAAATTCACTAATAAAGTTAAACCCCTTTTGTTTCATTTTGTTAATTTGGACAACATGGCCAAGCTTGGTGCTTCTGGTATGGATCCTATGAACCTTTACAATAGACTCCTTCATGGGCCAAGTAATTTGCTGCTGTGCTGGCTGATGAATCTAGTTGTTCCTTACAGTTACTTCCTTGTTCTTTTGGCCTTTTTGCAGTACATTGCCAAAAAAAATAAATATCTTTTTCTCTAAAACTTTGTTCCATTTGAGGCAATCAAAATGCTATTCTTAATCTTCATGAAGAATATTTTAGTTAATCACTCAAATGGCCCTGAAATTAGACGGGAATGGTGAATTAATAATACTTGAAATTACATTTTGTTAAATAGTTCCTCATTTTGAGTCTCGTGAAACAAAATAATCTATATAAATACAATTAAGTTGAATTGGTTAAATAAAAGTTTGAACGTTATAAATCTTCTTTGAGTTTGATTCTTATAAATAAAAAATGAAAATAATTTATAAATTAGCTTAGATTAAATAATCATTATTGGTGGGATCGACTTAAAAATTAGACAGTACAAAGTCCTCCCTTTTAAGTTTCTTTTTTGAAAAATATATTTTATATTAATATTTATATAAATTTTTCAAAAATTTAAAACTTAAAACCTAAAAGCTATTTTTTGTATTTTTAAAAATACACTATAAAAATTCTATCTTTAAAAAATATACAAATATAATTATTTTTTAAAGTCTATCTCTAAAATATTTTTATTTTTTTATTAAAATATATTATTATTAATTTTAAAAAAGGCTCATTTTAAAATTTATTTTAAACCTAATAATATGTTTCATAAATCTTGATATATCGATGATTATTATTTAGTAATTAAGTGTCTTTGCTACTTGCTATCTTTTATGTTGTTGTTCAATTACATGAATAAATTTATTAAGTTAAAAAGTAATTGAAACTTACCCTTTATAAAAGTTAAAACACTTTTTTATTCTAACTATATTCTCGCTTTTCTCTTTCCTTAAATCCATAGTGTTCATCCTTCACTCTCCATATATTGGAATAAAACATAGGTTTCATATATCTATCCTCTTGCAAGAGATTAGTTCAAAATTGTTCCCATCCCTTTCTTTCTTTCCTCACAATGCATATACAATAAGTATGAGCCTATATTTTGTAGGTGTTCTTCGTATAAAAGTGTATAGATTGTTTGTAATTAACCATCTTGTGTTTATTTTATATTAATTTCTTCTATTAATGCGTTTTTTTATGATCGATAATTTCTTTAAGTTGTTATTGTTTAAATCCCCAATCCATAGATTGCACTTGCTGTCCTTCTTTTATGGTGGAACTACAAATTTTGTTTTTTTTTTATAAAAAAATTGATGTTGTTGTGGATTCTTGTAAGATGACTTTCAAAATTACACATTTTGCACCATAGCTGACATTTAGAAGGAAGGAGATTACTTGCGTGCCCTTTCGGAATAGAGGGTTTAGGTGCCCTCTGTACGGACATCCAATCAGGTCATGCCACGTGGCCACTTACTCCATGTCACCCAGGGTGTTGAAACTTTGACCAGAAATCGGGTATTTGGATCTGATCCGCCCCTGCACCATGATCCAACAAACCAACCTGAATAGAGGGTCCCTCTTTTGTCCAATTTGTAAATGCATGCCACCTCATTTTGTTTGCATTGAAACGTGGCTCCATCTACTTCTCTTAATCGAAGGCTCCTGTTTGCTTTGGTGTTTTGTTGGCTCCATCTTCTTAAGCCAAGGTTGTTTCCCTTCCCATCCTTGGGTTTGGTTGGATCAGGTGTTGTATCTCCGTTTCCATCTTGTTCTCTTCATGGATGTTGTTCTGTTGGTTCTGTTCGTGAAATGGTGTGTCTGTTAGTTTGTCTTTGTTTCCATCTTCTTCTCTTAAGCGACGAAATTGTCTCCTTTCCCTTTTCCATCTTCTTGTTGTGTCTCTGTTTGTTGGCATGGATGTTGTTGTGTTCATGAAATGTTGTCTCCGTTACCGTGGTTTGCTTCCATTTGAAATCCTTGCAGGATGTTATCCTCATGAAAGGTGGTCTCTCTTTCCTTCTGAAATCCTTGCAGGTTCTTCTCCTCAGCTGATTTTCGAGTTTTTTGTGTGGTTCCTGGGGATAGGCACCTCGATTCTGAAGTGAACAGTTAGTGGTAAGTTGAATATTGTTCGATTAAGTTGTAATAAGTTTTCAGTTGTGCCCGACTTCTTTTTAATTGACTGGTCATGTAGTGTTGCTTTCACGAATAACGTATGTGTGAATATTGTTTGGTTTATTTGGTGAGTTGTTAGGATTGATATTGTTATGTGATTTTGTTAGGGTTTTTTTTTTTTTTTTTTTGCAGATTTAGTAAGTATTGATAACTCATGTAGGTGTTGTTGTATTTCGTTGTGAAGGCATCATTATGGATTGTAATTTATTTTTGCAATTTGATAGTGTTGTTATTGGGTCGTTGTAATTATTGTTTTATTAATGTGGTTTGACAAAATTTGTGGTAAGCATTATTGGTTATGATAATGTTTGTCCATCATATTTATATTTGTTAAATATCAGAAATGGAGAAGTCTGCATCTTCCCATACAAGCAGGACTACGTTATCCACATTACGAAGGGAAATGCCGATTGTTATTGTGGCATTCAAAGTAGGATACAATACTCAAAA